GGGGGACACGAGGAGGGAGCAAGGGGGACACGAGGAGGGGGCAGGGGGGACACGAGGAGGGAGCAGGGGAGACACGAGGAGGGAGCAGGGGGGACACAAGCCCAACACAGCCCTAACGCAGCACGACCATATCCAGGTCAGCTGGGAAGCAGTGAGCTCAGGCTATAAAAAGCATTGACAAGATGCTGGGAGCATCCCGGAGCGGGGAGGGAAGATTTTGGGGTGCCCCTGCCCTCCAAGGTGCCAGGGTGGTGATGGGCACCAGAGGATGGCACCGGCCACCCTGGCCCGTGGCCAAGCGCCCCGTCTCCCCGGCATTCCCAAAGTAATGATCCGTGTGACAGCACTGACTAAGAGTAACTGCTGGTTTTCCAAAGGGAGACGGGGTGTGGAGGAAGGGGGACTGAGATTGCCAACATGGCAGGGTTGGCAAGCAGGAGAGAGGCAGCTTGGCACCCGCAGCCCCATGCTGAGGAGGAGGAGGAGGAGAAGGAGAAAGAGGAGGAGGAGAAGGACAAGAAAGAGGAGGAGGAGAAGGAGGAATCACCATCCCCTGCACCCCAGCAGCGCGTGGCACCAAGTGGCAAAGCTCCTTCAGCAGGGAGGTGCCACGGGGACCACCAGCCCGGGATCCCACTCCACGTGGGAGCAGACATCCCCAGTGCACTGGGACGGGGATGAGGCCACCAACCCGATGCCTCTTCCTGACCAAGGCACACACGTGTGGCCAAGAGCCTTTCCTTCAGCTTGGCAGGGCCCCAAATCCACTCCAGCCAACAGAGAGAGGCAGGGTTGCACTAAGCTTTGATCCCGAGCTGCTGCCACCCTGCTGTCCTCTCCTGTCACCCCATCCCATGATGTCCCCCACCGCTCTCCCGTGGAGAACCACAAATCTGCCCCTCAAGCCCTCTTTGGACACCTGAGCTTTGCCAGATCCAGTTCCAAGCACCGCAGAGGAAAGGGTTAATGGGTGATGGAGGGGGGGGAAAGGCTGGGATGTCCTTTCCCTCCTCCCAGTACCCCCCCCACCCCACCCTGATGGGCACCCATCGCTGCAGCCACCCCAACTTCAGTAGAGCCCAGCAGGGCGTGCAGGGAGCTGTGAGGTCCCATCATGACTCACACATTCATTTC